TCTTAATTCAACTTAATTTTCTGCCATTGAACACACACACACACACACACACACACACACACACACACATATGTGATGTTATTTCCATTGATTTTTTTTTTTTTTTGGAGAGAGAGTGGAAGGGAGGGAGGGAGAGAGAGAGAGAGAGAGAGAGAGAGAGAGAGAGAGACATTGATGTGACTTGATTGGTTGCCTCCTGCACACGCCCCACTAGGAAAAGGAATTGAACCTGAAACCCAGGTATGTGCCCTTGACCTGGAGTCGAACCCACAATCCTTCATTGCATGGGCAGAAGCTCTAACCAGTGAGCCATGTTTTTCTTTATTAATTTTTTAGAAAGAGAGGAAGTGAGAGGGAGAGAGAGATAGAAACATTGATGAGAGAGCACAGACCGGTCGCCTCCTGCATGCTCCCCACTGGGGATCGCGCCCACAACCCGGGCATGTGTCCCAACCGCGAATGGAACTGGCGACTCCTTGGTGCATGGGTCGAGGCCCACCACTGAGCCACACCGGCTGGACCCAACAAGTATCTTCTTCCTCTCCAAGGTAACAATTTTTCCTTTTAATATTTAATTTTCAAACTTGACCTCCACAGGCGGTTTCATGAGCTGCAGTCCTGGAACACATCTGGCTTTTTCGAGCCTCCCTGTCTTGGCCCAGCCATTCCCACTACCAACTCTGTGGGAAAAGAAGCCAAGTAAATGCTTCTGCCCCAACCACACCTGCCCAAGGAAACTGGAAGATGTCTTCTGAACACACTCAGCAAGTGAGACCTGGATCACCCATATTTTGTCACATAATGGTTTGTGACCAGGTCGACCTCACCCACCAGACCAGGTGACCCTCAAAGTAAGGCTCAGACCTCGCTACTTTCTGAGTCTTCAGACTTGTTCAGCACGATCCCACAACTGGATAAAGAATCACTAGATTGCATTGCCCTGGCTTGGTAGCTCAGTTGATTAGAGCAACGTCCTGATAGGCCAATATTGCAGGTTTGATCCCCAGTCAGGGCACATACAAGGAGCAACCAATGAATACATAAAAAAAAAGTGGAACAGCCCTGGCCAATTTGGCTCTGCGGTTAGATCATCGGCCTGTGGTCCAGAAAGACTCTGGTTCGGTTCCCGCTAAGGGCACGTACGTTGGTTGCAGTTTGTCCCTGGCCCTGGTTGGGTCATGCAGGAGGCAGCCACTTGATGTGTCCCTTTCATGTCGATGTTTCTCTCCCTCTCTCTTCCTCTCTCTCCCTCCCACTCTATCTGAACAAAAAATGGAAAAATGTTCTCAAGTGAGGATAAAAAAATAAAATAAATAAGTGGAACAACAAATTTATGTTTCTCTCTCTCCCTCTTTCTCTAAAAATCAATTTTAAAATTACAAAAAAAGAATTCCTAGATTTTTCAATCACCATTTTATTTAATGGCCCAGAAACTTGTAAAAGAGGGATTTTTGTCCACATTTTATTGGGGGTGGGGAATGAAGTGCTGAGTGGGGGGGGAGGGCTCCTATACTCGGTGGGGAGTATTGAGGCTCCAGATATTTAAAATTTTTTTTCTTTATTAATTTTTTTTTTTTTTTTTTTAGAGAGAGAGGGAGAGATAGAAACATGGATGAGAGAGAACCTCGATTGGCTGCCTCCTGCATGCCCCCCACTTGGGATTTGGCCCACAACCTGGGCATGTGCCCTGACCTGGAATTGAATTGGTGACCTCTTGGTGCATGGGTTGATGCTCAACCACTGAGCAACACTGGCTGGGCGAGGCTCCAGATATTTTAGAGTCAGTCCAGATGCCTTGCTTTCAACCTCTCATTGGCCAGTTACTTTCATTCCCCATTTTATTGGTCAGAACCCAGTCAGGTGTTCTCGTCTAGCTGCAAGGGATTCTGGGAAATGTAGTCCACTTGTAGTCACCAAGGACAGAGGATTGGTTTTTGTTTTTTTGTGAATGCTCAGCCAGTATTTGCCAAGTCTGGCCCAGAGGGCTTCATGATCGCTCCATCCTTCTTGGATCTTATCTCCTACCCTCCTCTCCACCTGACTCAGCTCTAGCCATCCTGGACTCCTTGTTGCTTTTTAAATATGCAAAATTATTCCTACCTAGTCTTTTTTTTTTTTAATTTTCTTTATTGATTTGAGAGAGAGAGGAAGAGAAAGAGAGAGAGAAACATCGATGAGAGAGAACATCAATTGGCCACCTCCTACTTGCCCCCACTGGGAATTTGGCACGCAGCCTGTGTGTGTGCCCTGACAGGGAATTGAACCAGTGACCTCTTGGTGCATGGGTCGACGCTCAACTACTGAGCCACACCGGCTGGGCCCTACCTAGTCTTACTGATAATTTCACTAAGACACTGCTACAGTTTTGGAAAAATCACATCACCTATGACAATGCTACCTGATACATGTGAGCTGATGATACAACACTCCTGTGTCAGACTGCACTGTAACTTTCAAATTCACAGCAATTCTAGATTTTGAAGTAAGGTCTGACTATCATATCGCATCTCTTCTGTACCTATGTTGCAGTACCTGTCACTTTATTACAAACCTCTTTCTCTTTGTATTGCAGTTGATGAAGTAAAGTGACATTTTTTTGTTGGGGACATTGTTCAGCTGTATTATCCCTGGATTTCACTTCAGAATAGTAAAAGCAGAATTATGCATTACAAATTATTTGTGATAAAAAGGAAATAGAATTGGCTATCAGGGAAGTGCAAATCAAAACCCAATCAGCCCTGGCCAGTGTGGATCAGTGATTATCGTGTTGGCCCAAGCACCAGAGGGTCTCAGGTTCGATTCCCGGTCAAGGACATGTACCTGGGTTGCAGGTTCAATCCTTGGCTCTGGTCAAGGGGCAGGCTGAAGGCAACAGATCAATGTGTCTCGCTCACACCAAGGTTTCTCTCTCTCCCCCCCCTCCCGTCCTTCCACTCTCTCTAAAAACCAATGGAAAAAAATATCCTCGGGTGAACATTAAAAAGCAAGCAAACAAACAAAAACCACAATGAAATATCGGTTTGCACCTACTCGAACGGCTATAGTAAAAAGACAGATAATAACAAGTGTTGGTAAAGATGTAGAGAAGATGAAAGAGCTTGGCTTAACATTACACATCGAGAAAGTGGCGGAGACCCGGGTTCAGCCATCCCCCAATGCCCACCTAACCACTCATTTGAATTGTAACATCCTCAGATGAAAAACTCCACAGGGCCCTGGCCGGTTTGGCTCAGCGGTTAGAGCGTCGGCCTGCGGTCCTGAGAGACCCGGGTTCGGTTCCCGCTAAGGGCGCGTACCTCGGTTGCAGTTGTCCCCGGCCCTGGTAGGTTGTGCGGGTGGCAGCCACTAGATGTGTCCCTTTCACATCGATGTTTCTCTCTCTCTCTCCCTCCCACTCTACCTGAACAAAAAATGGAAAAATGTCCTCTGGTGAGGATAAAAAAAAAAAAAGAAAAACTCCACAGGTTCAAGGCCACACAAGCTACAAAAATCATGGGTCATAGACTACCCCCCCCCTTTTTTTAAGAAACAAGAGATTACATTTTTATTTCTTAAATCCTCACAGGAGGATATTTTTCCATTTTTATCTTCAGATTGGGGGGGGGGGGTCGGTGTGAGAGAGACACATTGACTTGTTGCCTCCTGCCTGGCCCTGGCCAGGGACCAAACAGCAATGGAGGTATGTGTCCTTGACCGGAATCAAACCCACGACTGTTTGGATTGCCGGCTCATGCTCTCCCCGCTGAGCCAAACCGACCAGAGCCATACTGTAAGGAATCGGGGGCGCCGCCGAATAAAACAGAGAAGAGACTGGAGAGCCAATCAGCCGAATGAACAGGGATCAGGCTTTATTGGGTGCACTCCGGGCGGGTTCACAGATTCCAGGGTTCGAGTCCTAGAAGCTGTGCTCAATGTAGGGGCTTGTGTCTTTTATATCTGCCCGTGGTAGCTGGAATTTGTCCCTTAGGGTTTGGCCCTGGGGGGGCTATGCATGGAGCCTCTGGAATGTGAATCGATAAGAGCAAGATGGGAGTTAATCTACAAGCTCGTGGCAGGCCATTCAGGGTGGGAGGCAAGGCTGAGCAAGCAAGACAATGGTCAAGCACTTTGCCTGGCGCCAGTACCCAGGCTATCGGACACATACATTCCTATTTTTTTTAAAAACTGCATCTATGCTTAATATAGATCCGATTATAATGGGGGGAACAACTTCCATCTTTTACCCATTCAAGTATTCCGAGTTTTCTTTAAAAGCTATCCCTGTATCTTTTTGGTAGGGGAAGGCTATGCTATTTTCTTTAATTCTTCCTATCACAGAGTTCTCTTAAAAATATTTTTGTTCTGGGTCAAGGTTTGTAATGTAACTTATTGAAAATCAATAGGCGCCCCAGCCACGTGGTTAGAGCGTCAGCTGAAGTTCCCAGTCGGGGGTTCAATCCCCAGTCAAGGGCACACACCTGGGCTGCAGGTTCGATACCAGCCCTGATTGGGGCGCACGCAGGAGGCAACCAACGATGTGTCTCTTTCACATCAATGTTTCTCTCTCTCTCCGCTTCCCTCCCTCCCTTCCACTTGCTCCGACAATCCATGGAAAGCATCGTCGGGTGAGGACTAGCAATAAAGAAAGAAATGATAAAACCAATAATCAGCGCATCTCCAAAATCAGAAAAATTTTAACAACCGAAAAGGGACAAAAGTGCTTTAACTCAGCTCTGTGCAAAAAGGAGCTGCAGCTGGGGAGACTTGTCAGGTGAAGCTTTTGCAGGGAGCCCAGAGAACTCCGCACCCGGCGGGAAGGTTTGGCGCGGCCCACGTTTCGCTGAGAGAGCCCGGAACTCTTCTGCCTGCCTCCAGCGGAGCCGCGGGGGAGGGTAAACTTCCAGCGGGTACACGACTTCCCTGCGGGGCAACCCACTTGGCTCGTCCTAGGCGGACCGGAAGTCCGTCCCTCGACTCCCCTCCCCTCTCCGGAAGTGACGCACAGTGGGGTTGCCGGAAGAAGTGGCGAAGTTACTTTTGAGAGGACCGGAGCGGCGGTGTCGAGCCAGGTGATACAGAAGCGGGGAAAGAGAAGCGGAGCAAGGGGACAGACGCAGGTGCACCTGAGTGTGGGGAGACGCGGGAGGAGCCTCAAGCACGGGGCTTCCCGGAGTTCCCCGCGCTGTTCTGCTCAGCCCCTTCTCTCCTTCTCCCTCTCCTTTCCGTAGCTCGCGTCGCCCCCGGCTGTTTCCAGGGCAACGGGAGAAGGAGACCCCGGGAGAGACCGCCCACGAGACCCTCGCGCGCAGCCATGAGCCCCGCCCCCCACTGGTGTTCGGAGAGGGGCGGGACCTGGAGCGAGGTGTGGGGGCGGAGCATGATGGGAGGGGGTGGAGGCGGGGATGGTGGGCGGGGATGGGGCGGGGCCTGGGGAAGGGTACTGATGGGACGGGGCGAGCGATCGGAAGGCTCATTATGGAGGGAGGGAGGGGGGAACCTGGAAGGGATTGGGCGGGACCTAGGTGGAAAGGATGGGGGCGGAGCCTAGGAGGAGGAGGTGGTGACAGAATGAGAGATGGGTTTGCTTCCTCAGCAGCGGTCGGGTGGAGTAAGAGTAGGAAGGATGAAACTTAGTGGGAAGGAGGAGGTGAGTGTGGAGCCGGATTGAAGTAGAAGGGGCAGTGCCTGGAAAGAGTAGATGGGCGGGATCTGGAGCGGGCGGAGCCTACAGAGGGCGGGACCTAGAGGGGGCGTGGCTTGAGGCCCAGCTGGAGGCTGTCCCGGAGCAGAAGGGGTGGGCCCTGTTAGAATTGGAGGGGAGACTTTGTAGACTGGCAAGGGAAGGGGTCGGGTTCTGTATGCAGTAAGGGAGGACTCAGAGAGATGGAAGAAAGGTGTTCCCCTCAAGACCTGTGGCTGACCTAACCTGAACCGCCCTGGCCCCACAAGGCTCTGAGCCCCCCTGTATTTTGCAGGCTGCTCCGTGACCCCACCATGTCCACCCCTACCTCAAGTTCCCAGAATACCCCCTTGCCTGGTGAGTGACCCCCTTCCCAGCCCAGCGCCCCATTACACACGTGTCAGGAAAAACTAAGTGTACCTCCCTCTCTCAGGAAATGTACCCCCTCAGCCCAGCGCCCCCTCTTCTAAACCCGTTGTAAAGGAGGAGCGTCCAGAGCCGTGGCCTGGGGGTCCAGACCCTGATGTCCCAGGCACTGATGGGGCCGGCTCAGCTTGCAGCGTGGGTGAGGCGGGGCCCAGAGACAGGGGCTGGGAGTTGGTATGGGAGGCTAGGGGAGGGATCCAGGAAGGGAAGATCAGAAATGAGGATAGGAGGCTCCAATTTTTTAATTTTTTTTTCTTCTGTTCCTCCTTGACATCACTCGTTTTAATTCATTCTTTGGGGTTCACTGACATACACATCTTTTCCTCTGAATCACCATCTCCTTGGGTCACACTCTGTACTCTGGCTCTTTGCCTCTGCTTTCTCATGGGCCTGTTTCTCTGGCTGGTTTCTCTCTGTGGCTCTCTCATGGCTTTTGTCCACCCACCCCAGTCATCCCAGACCCAGCAGAGGAGCCAGAGCGCAAGCGAAAGAAGGGCCCGGCTCCAAAAATGCTGGGCCACGAGCTGTGCCGCGTGTGCGGGGACAAGGCCTCCGGCTTCCACTACAATGTGCTCAGCTGCGAAGGCTGCAAGGGCTTCTTCCGGCGCAGTGTGGTCCGAGGTGGGGCCGGGCGCTACACCTGCCGGGGTGGTGGAACCTGCCAGATGGATGCCTTCATGCGACGCAAGTGCCAGCAGTGCCGGCTGCGCAAGTGCAAGGAGGCCGGGATGAGGGAGCAGTGTGAGTGCCGGTGAGGGAGTAGTGCCAGCCTGGCTGCCGCCCAGCCCAGGGGCCTCTGCTGAGGCCTGCATCTCCCCAACAGGCGTCCTCTCCGAAGAACAGATCCGGAAGAAGAAGATTCGGAAGCAGCAACAACAGCAGCAGCAGCAGCAGCAGCAGTCACCCATAGGGCCAGGAGTCAGCAGCAGCTCAGCCTCCGGGCCTGGGGCCTCCCCTGGAGGGTCCGACGGAGGTGGCCAGGGCTCTGGGGAAGGCGAGGGTGTCCAGTTAACAGCTGCTCAGGAACTAATGATCCAGCAGTTGGTGGCAGCCCAGCTGCAGTGCAACAAACGCTCCTTCTCTGACCAGCCCAAAGTCACGGTACTGCCCCTTCCACAGCCTTGAGGGGTGATGGGCCTGGCATGGGAAGGGAATGAGGCTCCAGAGGGTAGGGTCTTGGAGAGGAGGGCCTCCCAGAGTGCAGGCTTTGCCTCAAGGTGCCCTCATAGCCTTAGGTTCTTGGAAGGAGTCCTAGAATAACTCTGCTCCCCCCACCCCCTGTCCCAGCCCTGGCCTCTGGGCGCAGACCCCCAGTCCCGTGATGCCCGCCAACAGCGTTTCGCCCACTTCACGGAGCTGGCTATCATCTCAGTCCAGGAGATTGTGGACTTTGCCAAGCAGGTGCCTGGCTTCCTGCAGTTGGGCCGTGAGGACCAGATCGCCCTCTTAAAGGCATCTACCATTGAGGTAACAGCCAGCCTACCCATCCTCAGCATAGCCCTTTTCTCATGCTTGGAAGGAATCCAGAGATAAGCCCTAGGACAGGTGCTGGAAGCGCAGTGATGAGCAAGACCCCTTCAGTCCTTGCTTTTGTGGGGATATATTTTATGGAGGAATGTCAAAACACTAAACAAGATAATCAGAGGTTCCCATCATCCAGGAAGAGAAAGGAAACAGGCCGAGGATGAAAATAATTGAAGATTGGGCTGGAGGGACACACTTTAGAGAATGTGCCATAAAAGGTTATTCAGAGGAGTCGACATCTGAACCAAAACAATAGTAACAAATAAGAATTGACTGCCTAGCCTTGACTGGTTTGGCTCAGAGGTTAGGGTGTCAGCCTGCAGACAGAAGAGTCTCGGGTTTGATTCCGGTCAAGGGCACGTTCCTTGGTTGCTGTTCGATCCCCTGCCCCAGTCGGGGCGCATGTGGGAGGCAACCAATTGATGTATCTTTCTCTCATCAATGTTCCTCCCTCCCTCCTTCCTACTCTCTGAAAATAAATGGAAAAAATATCCTCAGGTGAGGATTAGAAAAAAACAAAAAAAAGAATTGAGTGCCTAGTGTGTGCCAGGTTCCATTCCAAGTGCTGGGCATATATCAATGAACAAAACAGTCAGTCCCTTCCCCTGTGCCTCCTACCCACCTGGGGACAGTGTCCTGAGTGGAAGGTGCTGTTCATTCTGAAACTAGAGGAGGGAGAGAGATTGGGGTGTCTAATGTGTTGACTGCAGGCTGCTGTGACAGAGAATGCAGGAATGGGGTGGGGTGGAGGGACCAGGGATGATCCTTGAGATTTGGCCCCCCATTCAGACCAGGGGAGGAGGGTCTGGTGGCTAAAGGGGGCAACAGGACTCCTCACACCCTTGCCTACCCCTTTCCCATGCCCTCAGATCATGCTGCTGGAGACAGCCAGACGCTATAACCATGAGACCGAGTGCATTACTTTCTTGAAGGACTTCACCTACAGCAAGGATGATTTTCACCGTGCAGGTATGGCAGAGAGCAGGGTGGGGGGAGGGGCAGGATGGGGCTCTTGCTGTCTGGGAGACCTGGGGCTGCCTCGTCCCTGTCTGAGCCTCCATTTCTTTTTAAAACAATTTTTTTTATTGATAATTAGAGAGAGGGAGATAGAAATGATTAGCCACCTCCTGCATGCCCCCAACTGGGGATCTGGCCCACAACCTGGGCATGTGCCCTGACAGGGAATCGAACTGGTGACTTCTTGATGCATGGGTCGACACTCAACCACTGAGCCACACCAGCTGGGCTGAGCCTCCATTTCTTTATCTCTAAAGTGGGTGAGCCCTGGCCAGTGGGGCTCAGTTGGTTGGGCATTGTCCTGTGCATTAAAAGGTTGCTGGTTCTATTCTCGGTCAGGGCACATGCCTGAGTTGTGGGCTCGATTCTCCACATGGGGCGCGCTGGAGGTGGCCAATCGATGTATCACTCTCACATCGATGTTTCTACTGCTCCCTTTCCCTTCCTCTCTCTCTAAGAATCAATTTTAAAATCTTTTAAGAAAAGGAAAAGAAAAGATACTCCCTCCTCCCACAACCTGGTCTCACCCGAGGGAGGCTGGATTGCAGTCCCTTGTGAAGAGTGCCACCTACGCAGCTATGCAGGGCAACCCTAACCCCTGCCCTCTAAGCGTACTTAACTTGGCAGCGTGACCTAGACGGTGGGCTTCTGGAGGAAGTGCAGGTGATCCGAGGTCTGCAGGCTGAGAGGCATCACCTAGGAGAAGTGAGGTTGGGAGTAGCATTGCCCACCAGGAACTGCATGTGCAGAGGCCTCTCGGCCTCTGGTCTTTCTTAGTAAGTCCTGCTCTCTCCCTGGGGTATCTTTCTGTACTTCCAGATATCTGCTTCTAACCCCATCTTCCCTTCCTCTAACTCCTGGCCCTCCCATCACCCCGGACAGTCCCAGCAACCCTTGTGAGGGAAGCGCAATGGGGAGAGCGTTTTTGGCAGGATGTCAGCACGTGCAAAGGCCCTGAGGTGGAGAAGAGCTGGACAGTTTTAAGGAACTACAAGGAAGCCTAGGCAGCTGGAGCACAGAGTAAGGCTAGAGAAAAGGTTGGAGTCCTACCACTTCCCCACATCCTCTGCCGCTGCCACAGTCTAGGCCTCAGTTGTCTCCCTAGCACATTGCAGGGTTCCTCACTGGTCTCCCACCTCCACCCCTGCCCAATGTGTTCACATAGCAGTCAGAAGGATCCTATTAACACCCTAGTCAGCTCACATCCTTTTGCTCAGAACCCTCCATGGCTCCCATCTCCCAGGGAGAGAAGTCTGCCATGGGCCCTGCAGGGTATGGCTCCATTCCCTGTCCGTCCTCATCTGCCCTCTCCCCTTGCTCACCCTCCTCCAGCCACACTGGTCTCCCTCTTACATGAACTCACCGAATGTGCTCCTACCGCAGAGCTTTTGTATTGGCTGGTCCCTTTGCCTAGAACTTGGGTGACCAGCTCATCCTGGCTTCCCTGGTTCCGTCCAAATTTCTTTTTTCAATTTTTATTTATTTTTGTTACAGATGTTTCTCCTTTTTTCCCCCTAGGCACCCTCCTCCCAACCAATTTTTAAGAAAATCCTCACCCAAGGATATGTTTTTATTGGCGAGAGAGAAGGGAAAGAGAGAGAGAAACATTGATCGGTTGCCTCCTGTACACGCCCTGACCGGGGATTGAGCCCACAACCTAGGTATGTGCCCTGACCAGGAATTGAACCCACAACCTTTTTTTTTTTTTATCCTCACCCGAGGACACTTTCCCATTTTTTGTTCAGGTAGAGTGGGAGGGAGAGAGAGGAACAGAGAGAGAGAGAAACATCGATGTGAAAGGAACACATCGAGTGGCTGCCACCTGCATGACCGACCAGGGCCGGGGACAAACTGCAACCGAGGTACGTGCCCTTAGCGGGAACCGAACCCGGGTCTCTCAGGACCGCAGGTCGATGCTCTAACCGCTGAGCCAAACCAGCCAGGGCGAACCCACAACCTTTTGGAGCATGGGATGACCCTGCCACCAACGGAGCCACCCAGCCAGGGTCCTTCCCAGTGTTATCAGGGAATGTCTCGTGGCCCAAAAAGCTGGATATTTTACATATTTGTCTCTTATCTGTGCCCTCAACCCCAAGTGTAAGTTCCACAGAGTACACACTTTGTCTTATAAATGGCTCTACCCAGGGCCTGGCATGTCGTAGATGCCCAGTGAAGTTTGATGATTAAATGAATGAGTCACTCTTGGAAATGAGTTTGGGTTTTACCCTGAGAGCAGTGGAAGCCACCGCAGGGCATGACACAATGTGACCTAGGCGTTAAAATCTTTCCTGTTCCTGCGGAGAGAGACAAGCCAGGAAGAAGTGGAAGTGGTGGTAGGGTAGAAGACACTGCATAAATGGTCGCTCTCCTTACTCATTCCCTCACTCAGGCAAGGTTTGTGGCTCACCTGCTCCGTGCCAGGCACGCTTATAGACAATGGGGATGCAGAAGTGACAACACTATAATGGCTGCTGTTTTCTTCACCTGCTAGGCAGTGTCAGGAACTGGGTATGGGGTATGGGGCTGGTTTCAGGCTGGCATGTTTATCAGGCAGGCTCCGCCTCCCACCCCACAGGCCTGCAGGTGGAGTTTATCAACCCCATCTTCGAGTTCTCAAGGGCCATGCGGCGGCTGGGCCTGGACGACGCCGAGTACGCCCTCCTCATTGCCATCAACATCTTCTCAGCTGACCGGCCCAATGTGCAGGAGCCGAGCCGCGTGGAGGCCCTGCAGCAGCCCTATGTGGAGGCGCTGCTCTCCTACACACGCATCAAGAGGCCCCAGGTACCCGAGCTCAGCCCCTCCCAGCAGAGTTAGACACACTCCTGAGGTCTGGGGAGGGACAGAAGATCCAGACCTGTGTAGGGTCAGCCTGGGGCCGGGGTGTTGCATCCTTGTCTAAGCCTGGCTTGTCTGACTCCCCAGTCCCCCTGGCAGCATTCTGAGCTCTGGCTGCGATCCTCTCAGCAGATCCTGTCCTCAGGTCCCTGTCCCCTCACCAAGGAGCCAGGCCTAGTCAAAGCACAGGGGTGGGGGTCCCCACGCTCTCGCTAGCCTCTGCCCACACTGGCTCTCCTGGCTCAGCCTGGGGACAGAGGCCTTCCTGGTGGTCCTGGAGGGCTGACCAGAGCCTCACAGTGTGGGGCCTGGCCAGCAGCCACCTCCTTCCTGTCCTGTCCCCCGCAGGACCAGCTGCGCTTCCCTCGCATGTTGATGAAGCTTGTGAGCCTGCGCACACTCAGCTCTGTGCACTCGGAGCAGGTCTTCGCCCTGCGGCTCCAGGATAAGAAGCTGCCGCCTCTGCTGTCTGAGATCTGGGATGTCCATGAGTGAAGGGTCCAGCAACCCTGCCCCAAAGCCCTGCACCCTACAATGAATGGACATGGTCACCCCTTCCTCCTCGTGGGGTGGGAAGGAGCCAAGCCTAGGGTCCCACCTTATGGCTTGGAGCACAGGCCCTGGCCATACCAGCCCTTAGCCCTCAGGATAAGTCCCAGTCAGGGTCCAGGAGGCTTCCTCCCTGCCCACTGAGTCTTCCTGGGAGGTGTGGATGGGTCACAGGCCCTGACCTCTGACCTCTCCAAGCACTTCCAGCTGCCCTCCCCACCCAGCTTACACCTCAAGCCCACTGCGCAGTGCACCTTGAACAGAGGGAGGGGAGGGCTCAAGGCTCTCTCCCACAGCCTGAGAGACCCCAGGCCCCCTCTCCCTCTGCTCTTTTTATTTAATAAAAACTTAAAAAACTTTAAAAAAAATCACAAAAACAGGAAAATAAAATATGAATAGAAACCTGCCCTGAGCCCGAGTGAGTCTGAGATGGACAGGGGACAGGCTGCCAGGGTCTTCATCAAAGCTGGCCCTTTACATGGTTGCTAGGCTGGTGGGGGGGATGCTCACAGTGACTGGGGACAGGTGGTGGTGGGGTCCAGGAGAGGCCCCTGATGGCCTCAGGGTCATCTCCCTGTACAAGGGAAGTTGGAGCCAGCTCATGAAAGACAAGGAGAATTTAAGTGGATGAGGGGGCTGTTGCCTTCACTCAGGCAACAAATACTTGCTGAAGCCACCTGTGGTCATTCTGGGGCTGCTGATGTCACTCCCCTGACAAGTATATATGGAGCATTTCCTACATGCTAGACACAATTTTAGGCACTGGAAACATCCGTGAACGAGACAGTTCCTCAGGTGGCCACCAGTCAGGGCTGGCAGTTGGGGGAATTAACGGGGACAGCTAGAATGTAAGGGATTAAGGGGCAGCAGGAGGCAGGGTGGGGGCTGGAGAAGAAAGGCAAGACCTCACAAAGATCATGTCTTAGCTGGAACCTAAACCATGAGAACAAGGAGCCTGGGCCCCCGTGCTGTTGGGCACAAACCGGGTCTGGGAGGTGAGAGGCCCCGGTGAGTTGAGAATAGGAAAGGGGGACCATGGAGTTCTCTTAGCCGGATGGACAGCCCTGGTCCAGGCTGAGGAGGGGGGCGGGTGTTGCTTGGAGAGAGGCTGGGTACTGAAAGGTGTGTTTTTTTATAGGGGGAGAAGACAGCAGAAATGACAGTAGTTACAAATTGTGAGCCGGGCACCCTACATGTGCGCCCTCCCCACGCTAGGTCTAGTTTACAGATGGGGAAACTGAGGCCATGAGACGGGACCGCAGCGCGTACAGCCCAGCCTCTGCAGGGAAGGCAGACGTCAGGCCGCCGGTGCGAGGGTGGACAGTGCTCAGAAGGTCCTCGGAAAGCGGCCTAGGGCAGCAGGCCTACAGGATTGCGGAGGATGCGCACGCAGACCGGAGGGCTGGTAGGGGGCGGTGCCCCAGGTCAGCTGCGCGCGCAGCCTACACGAGGCCTCGCAGCAGCCCCAAACAGGGGCGTGGCTTTGGGCCTCAGGAGTCAACAGGGGGCGGGTTTTGTCGGGAATTGGTCCGCAAGGGGGCGAGGCCACACCCCAAATTGGAGGGAGGGGGCGTGGTCTGGCCCAGTTAGACGAAAGGGGCGTGGCCTCGCCTTACTTGGGCCGGAGGGGCGTGGTCCGGCTCTGCGCGCGGCGGCGAGGCCTGCGCGCGCCGGAGTCAGGGGTCACGCCGGCGCAGTCTGTGGCGGGAAACGCTGTTTGAAGAAGGTGAGTAGAGGGAGAAGGGGGATTGCAGGGCACCTCGCCTGTCAGGGAAGGGCGCCTCAGGAGCCGGGCACGTAGGCCTGAGAGGGTTGTGAGGAGTCGCTTGGGCGTGGCGGCGGGAGGGAACCCCCTTGGCTCGGGGGCGCGCGGGCCGATGACGGGGGCTGCGCCTCTTGGCCTGCAGCTGGGGGCCCTGGGCGAGGTGAGGGACGCATTCTGGAGGATCTTTGGGGCCACCGGATCCCGGTGGCACCGGGGGACTGAATTGTGCACGTGAGGGCATGGTGCCATAGCTTACTCACCAAATGTTGAGTGCTGTGCGCCAGGCGCTCAGGCGCTGTTACAGAAGCAGGGCTGCAGCACGACCTAGTCAGCGAAGGGTCCTGCCTCAGGGCAAGACGGACAGAAGACAGTAACAACGGTAAAGCAGCGCTTTCAGCCTCTGGTTCGTTGTCCGAAGTGAAATACAGCAGGGTAGCCTGCTTCTGTGCTTGGAGTGACCTTGGAGGGAAGTCAGCCAGAAAGAGAAAACCTGGGCAGAGGGGCCATCAGTGCAAAGGCCCGGAGGTAGGAATTAACAGGGGAGGGTGGAGATGAGATGAGGAACCAGATCCTGAGGGGCCTTAGGAACCTTGCCGTGGGGTGTGGCTTTTATTCCGGGTGCAGTAGGGAGCCAAGGAAAGTTTTGAGCATTGGAGCCAGGAGACCCGCCCTGCGTTTTTTTTGTTGTTTTTTTTTATCCTCACCCGAGGATATTTTTCCATTTTTTGTACAGATAGAGTGGGAGGGAGAGAGAGGAAGGGAGAGAGAGACAGAAACATCGATGTGAAGGGACACATCGAGTGGCTGCCACCCGCACGACCAACCAGGGCCGGGGACAAACTGCAACCGCAGTACATGCCCTTAGCGGGAACCGAACCCGGGTCTCTACGGACCGCAGGCCGACGCTCTAACCGCTGAGCCAAACCGGCCAGGGCCCCCCCTGCGTTTTGAGAAACTCACCTGCGGAGTGAAGATGGAATTGTAGCAGGAACAAGAGTGGGAAGGAGGGAGACCAGTCAGGAGGCAGGTAGGTGGCTCCTCGGGCAGTGTGGGTGGAAAGAACGTCAGGCTCAAGTTGTCTTTGGGGTTTGAGCCAGCAGGATTTGGGGGTGTAGAGAAGAGGAGCCCAGGATGACTGGGGTTTGTGGTTTCAGTGACAGGCTGGATGGAGAAGGTTGAGGGAGAGCAGGTTTGGGGGTGCCACTCTGTGGGCAGAGCTTAGATGGAGTGAGTGGGCAAGGGTGATGTCAGTGCCCTAGCTTTGTAGCCCCACGTACTCCAGTAACTGGTTGTCTTGTCTCTCCCCCCACCCCACCTCCTACAGTTCACCACCCCAGCCTTTCCCATCTCTTAGAGAGGTTCCTTCCCCACCCAGGGCCTTTGCCACACCCTCCCCTCCTCCTGCAATGCTCATCCCTCTCTTCAGTCCTTCAGCCAGCTGCTCTGTGGCAGGCCCTTTGCTGGGTACGAGGGAACCAGTGAGAATTCAGTTCAGCTGGAGGAAGGACAGGAACTCTCAGTCCAGAGTGCTCTGAGCTTTGCAGAGGTAATGCTAATCTCTGGAGGCCAAGAGCAGCGGGAAGGTGGGGGGGGGGGGGGCGCTCAGGGAAGATTCGTAGGATTGGTGACACTCGAGAGCAGTCTAAACTGACATGACATGAAGTGGCCTGTGTTCTAGGCACTATGCTGAAGACCCTGATCTTGTTTTTGGGGTGCTGACAGCCTGAAGCAGCCCCAGCTTGGGGTGCGCATAATGCAATAATGGAAGTAGCACAAGGCACTGTGGGAACCCTGGGGGTTGAGGGTAGAGGATCAGCCTAGAGGCGTTGAGCCAGAGCCTAGTCTCTGAGGATGCAGAGGAGTTAGGTGGCCAAGAAAAAGGAGGGTTTCATTCTGCAATCATTTCTCGAGGCTGTTCCCTGTGCTGGGTGATGCTGGTGACTCAGAGAAGTGCCAGACAGACCATACCCTGCCCTTGAGGAGTCCCTGTCTGGTGAGGGAGTCAGACACAGGTCCAGATGGTCCCAGGCCTGTAACAAGAACAGCAGGAGTCGGGGAGGCCCAATCTGTCTGCCCTGCTGGGCAGAGAGCAGTTCACCTGTGTATCTCACCTGACATACCTGGAGGCCAGCATTCCAAAGTGCTGGTTAACAGGCTCTAGAGCCAACCTGCCTGGGTTTGAACCTGGCTATGTTCCTCTGAGCCATCTTTGCAACCTTGAGCAGGTAGCTTCACCTCTCTGGGCCTCGGTTCCAGTAATTGTATGTATTAGAGGGTAGTAGCAGCACCTACCTCAGAAGTTTTTGTGACAATCCCATGAGTTCCCATTTTCATTCTTTGAGAAACTGTCTATTGAGCATGTCCTCTGTCTTAGGCACTCTTCTGGGTGCATGAGATATAGCAGGAAACAAAAGACAAAATCCCTGCTCTCTCAGAGCTCCCATTCTCCTTGTGGGAACAGACAATGAACAAGATCAATAAGCAGTGGTTCTCAGACTCCAGCGCAGAGTGCTGGACCCCACTCTCGAGGGCCGGATTTAGTGTGTCTGGGCAGATTCAGTGGGTCAGGGCAGGGGCCTGGCAGTTGGCATTCCAACAACTTCCCACCCTGATCTCAAGCGGCGGATCCAGGGACCACACTTGGAGAACTCCAAGAACTGATACAGTGTGCCTTAGTGACATCAAGAAAAATAAAGCAGGGAAACGGGTTAGAGAGTGTCAGGATGAGGCAGCAGGGCTGTACTTTTAAACAGGCCTCACTGCCCAGCCAGTGTGGCTCAGAGGTTGAACATTGACCCCTGCACCAAGAGGTCACCGGTTCGATTCCCAGTCAGGGCACATGCCCAGGTTGTGAGCCAAATCCCCAGTGGGGGGCATGCGGGAAGTGGCCAACTGATGTTCTCTCTCATCGATCTCCCTTTTTCTATCTCTCTCTCCCTCTCTCTTCCTCTCTCTAAAATCAGTAAAGAAAAAAAACATTAATAAAAATAAACAAGCCTCACTGAGAAGGTGACATTTGAACAAAGACCTGAAGGAGGAAGCCATAGGCCATCTGGGGAAGAACATTTGGCAGAGCAGAGGGAACAGCCTGTGCAAAGGTCCTAAGGTAGAACCAAGCTTGGAGTATTGAAGTAACAGAGAGGAAGCAAGTGGCTGGAGCCGAGTAAGCAGTGGGGAGAGAGTGGGAGGTGGTGTCTGAAGGGAAACAGAGGCAATTGTTCAAGGTCTTATGGGCCACGATGAAGACTTGACTTTAACTCAGTATGAGATGTGTCCCAGCGGCAGGCTCTGAGCAGAGGAGGGATGGGCTGATCTGACATATTTGTACAGGAGCCTTCTGACTACTGTGTGGAGAATACACCGGGAGAGGCTGTTCATTCATTCATCAGCTTTCTCAAGCACCCTCTCTGTGTTAGGCACTGTTGTAGACTCCTGCCATACTTCAGTAAACAAAATCAATGGATCCTGGCCCTCACCAAGGCAATCTTCCAGCAGGGGTAGACAGACAACAGCAATGTGCAAAAGAAAGAAGCAGTGGGACTTAGATCTGCTAGAAGGCAGAGCCGATGGGGATGTGCAGATAGAGCGAGCATGTGGTC